GATCTTTCTGTGGAGCTCCTTGTGGGGTGTACTGGATGGTGGCCGACGCGCTTGGGCAGTCCCACCGGGACATTCGGTGGGGTTTCCGCCGGGGCCACGAAACGCTGTGCTGGGTGGTGGCTGACGCGTGCGGGCGGCCCCACTGGGACCTCGTGCCGAAACGGCTCGGGCCTCCAATACGCACCCGCCCACGAGGGCAGCGCCCAACGTAGGGCGACGAAATCTATACATATCCACTGCTCCCAGGCCAGGCCCATCCTCAACCCCGCAGCGGTGTATACGCCACGCCCTCCTGGCTTGGCCAGGAGGGCGCATACACAGCTCCTGGGTTCAAGATGGGCATGGTCAGGGAGCAGTGGATATGTATAGATTTCGTCGCCCGACAACGAGAACACCAAGCAAGACGCCAGGCGGCCAGAGCCTCCAGGAGAGCCACCGGCGGGGGCCCCGGGGCGGCGCACGCCGAGCCGGCGCGAGAGGCTGCAGGAGTCTGCAGGAGGGGGGGGGCCCAGGAGGAGGAAGGTCGAGGATTGACGCGACTCCAGCAAACATCCTTTGGCTCGTCGTCGCTCGGACGTCCATTCCCCGTGCATTTGTTGGCTTCATGCGTGTTCTGTCGTTCGCGAGAAGACCCGAGGGGCTCCGCGATGGCCCTCGCCGATAAAAATGCGCACGTCCGAGCGATGCCAAGGCGGCACACGCCGAGTCTACGTGAGAAGCTGCAGGAGCCTCCAGGAAGGGGAGGCAGAGGGAGGAAGGTCGAGGACTGACCAAACACTCTGGTAAGCACCCTCTGGTGCAAGCTTCCAGGGGCACTCCCAAGTGCGCACGGCACCGCCTTCGGAGTGGGCCCGGGCGAGATAGCGCATCGACGTCCAAGCATGACCGACTGTGCCCAGCGAAACACAAGTCGATTCGCAAACCCGACTGGGGACTCCGCAGGCATACTCGAATTTTTCCGATGTCGAGTGAACCAGTGCAGATGTCCGGTTCCACTTGTCTGGGTGGGCGTTCCGTCAGCGTCCGGAAAAAGAGGAGGCAGAAGAAGGAGGAAATGGGGGGCTTGTTCTCCACGGCCACCACCATGACTAAGTAGGAGGGGGAGGGGGTCCTCTTCCTCCTCCTCCTCCTCCTCCTCCTCCTCCTCCTCCTCCTCCTCCTCCTCCTCCTCCTCCTCCTCCTCCTCCTCCCTCTCTTCCTACTCGGGGTTCCGAGCTGGATCGACCTTTCTCGAGGAGGTTGAGGCGCCGGGATCTGAGGGATCTCGGAGCCGCGTTCGGGGCTCGGGCCGCGCTTCTTCACGATGCCGCACTCTTGTTCGCGACGGCCGAGGTCGAGGACTCGAGGCGGACGGGGAGGAGGAGGGAGAGGGTCGGCGGCGAGCGAGGGGATGGGGACTGAGGAGGAGCAGGCCCTCTCAGAAGGCGGCGGAGCTCCTGAGAGACCCATCGCGCCTTCTGAGACATGTTCTGTGTCTCCGGGGGGTGGCTTGGACGACTTCTCAGAAGCCTGGGGGACTTCCGGGCTTTCTGAGAAGTCCCGCCCCTTCTCACTCTCCCCACGGTTCTCCTTTCCGGGCGCGCCCGCCGCGGAGCGAAGGGAATCAGCATGTTACCCCACACGTTCAGATTCTTGGACCCCAGCGAACTCACTTGTGCAACAGCCAGCAGGGCACCAGGCAGCCCCATCAGGGTGACGATCACCGACTCCAGCGAGGTCTGGTACAGCGACTGCTCGCACGTACCCCCAACCTGGTTGCATTGCATCTTCGGGGGACCTCGTGCGTCCTGTAACCCAGACTCCAACGTAATGAACAAAAACAAGACTGAGATGTTTCATCGTGTTTGACCTCTGGAGGCCCTCCCTGGGCGCTGGGACCGTCAACAAAACTACTCGGGATGATCAACCGACCCTAAGAGAAGCGTCGGGACTCCTGGGGGGCCCGTGTGTAACAAGTCGAGACATCGGATCCCTGGCTAAGTGCGACATCGGACGCGGGTTCGACGCAGAGTCGACGTGGATTCGGCGTGGATCTGACGCAGCTCCGACGTGGGGCTGACGCGGATTTGACGATCGACATGGCATCGACGCGGACGGCGAAGTGGCACTGACAAGATCCCCCGAAGACACGACACGAACCTTGTCCCCGCTCAGGCAGATCGCTTCCAATATCTTCGGAGTGAAGACGGCGGTGCCTGGGGGGGATACCAAACGTTTCACGATCATTTCTGTTGCTTCTCGGACCTGTCCCGGGGTGCCTTCCGTTCTGCCCAGGACTCCGAGGCGGATCCCGCCGTGGCAGCTCCGACCCCTGGCGGCGCCTCCGGCGCCGCCCCTGGCGCGCTCCGCGCGCCAGGGAGGGGGGTCCAGCGCCGATCCGAGAAATCCGCGCGGACCTCCGAGTCTATATGTTTATGTAGCTTTGGTTCCCCTAGACCCCCCGGGAGGCCCAGGACAGCGAAACCAAAAAATACGCTGCAGCAGCAACTGCAGCACCACGAAGCACCACGACTGGAGCCCCACAATTGAGCCGGGACCGACCGTCCCGGCATTCCTATAGTCCTACCACGAAATATTCTTGGAACCCACAATGTTCCAATAACGAAGACAACGTTCTTAGAACATAAGCCCGATGTGTTAGAACAAGACAGACTCCGCCAGACATGTTCTGAGAACAATTTCGTGGGAACCACAACAAGTTCTTAGAATCTTGTTCGGTAGGGCTACAGGCGAGCCAAGATGCTCCGCCATTGCTTGATACAGACACCACCTCTCTGCGGCCTCCCCAGGACCCCCTGCACGGTGGGCGTGTTTTCCACCACCACTACCACAAGTGGGAGGGGGAGGGGACCCTCCTCCTCCTCCTCCTCCTCGTCCTCCTCCTCATCCTCTACCTCCTTCCCCCCTCCAACTCATGGTGGTGGTGGTGGAAAACAGGCCCATGACTGCACCCGGGCCCCTCGACGCCGCCGCGTGCGCCCCTCCGATGGGGCAGCCCGGCGCCGGCACTCCTCGAGACAGACCGACCCATGCTGGCCCCGCGGCCCGAGACTGGGCGAAGACGCCCCGTGTGACCAAAGCGCCCGGGCCTCAGGGCTGTGTCGGGCGTGTCCCCCCACAGGGGGACTTTCGAAGCAAAATAAGACATGCCCCAAGCATACCCCAAAAAGGTCCACAAACATACCCCCCTAAACTGGTCCCCACACTACTTTTGGGGCTGTTTTTTACTCTGCTTGGGATCTATGTGTTATTGTTCGTCGAACATCCCCCTGTAGGGGGACAGGCCCGACGTGACCTCACGGCTTGCCTGCCCCGCGCGCCGTAGAAGGCCACGTCGTAGAGGAACCAGACGGACGCGGTGCCGGCGAGCGTCCACAGCACCTCGCGCGGCTGCCGCCTCACCGACGCCGCGACGGCGCTGCGCGCGCGCCGGGGGGCGTCCGGCGGCCGCCGCGGCCCCTCGCTGCCGCGGAAGGAGAGGGTCCCGGCGCCGGCGCAGCAGAGCCGTGCGGACCCTCGAACGGAGAGGCTCGCGCTTCGACTCGACTCAGGAGGAGGAGGAGGAGATGGAGGAGGAGGAGGAGGAGGAGGAGGAGGAGGAGGAGGAGGAAGAGGAGGAGGAGGGAGGAGGAGGAGGAGGAGGAGGAGGAGGGAGGAGGAGGAGCTTCCCGTCGAGGGAGCTGGCCCTCCCGAGGGCGCGCCGGGGGCGGCGCCCTCCGGCGCCGCACTCCGGCGCACTCCGCGCGCCAGGGAGCGGGGCCCCGCGCCGAGGCAGGAGGTCCGCTGGCACCTCCGGCGCGGCCACGCAGACCTCCAGCCTCGAGAGATGCGTTTTCCGTCGCGGCGGCCGCTCTCGGGGGGTATCCTGGCGCGGGCCTCCGACGCAGGCCCCCAGTCGGGCCTCCGACGCAATTTTGGGGGCATGCTCTCGCGGCCCGGGAGGAGCTGAGAGGCGCTGACCCGGGCCCCGCTGCCGTGTTGCGATCGGGCCCTGGCTCAGGCCCCTGGCACCGCATCTTTTCTCCATCCCGGCGTGTGTTCTCGATGCAGTCTCCAGGCCACCTACCTTTTAAGTCGGGCGTGTCCCCCTACAGGGGAATGTTCGACGAAAACCAATTTCAAAAAACAACAAAAACTCCCAAATGGTCAACAAAAATATTAGTCCCCACACTACTTGTTTTACTACTTGTGCGCATTCCTCCTGTGGAGGAGCGGGCCCGACTTAAACCTACCTTCGCGCACCGCGGGGCGCGATGCACGCCGCGCGGTCATCTTCGAGCCCTCGCGCCGCCCCCCTCGCAGCGTGGCAGCCTCCCAGGCAACCTCCGGCCCCGACGCGCGACGCGCGGAGAGCGCGGTGATCCTACCGCGCCCCCGCGGGGGGGGGGGGGACGGCGGCCACGGCATCCGCGGGCCCGCTCTCTCGGGCCCCGGGGCTCCACGGCACTGCTCTGGGACGGAGCTCTGCGCATGGCATCGCATCGGTCGGATGTCTGGGCCTGGACCCCGAGGCCTCCCTTCCCGAGCCGTCTTCTGACGGCCCCCAGGGGGCGCCCCAGTGACGGGCGGCTGCCGCCCTGGGGCCACGGTGAGCGCCAGACTTCGCGCCGGCCTGACGCCACCGGACCTCGTAATGCCATGGGGATCTCGCCCTGGACAAGCTGGGGTCACCAAAGACCTTCTGGGCGTCGCCACTTTCTCACATCTGGCGTTTTCGCCCGGCTTCGGGCCGTTGGAATATGGGGTCTAGTGCGCTGGTCGTGTTTTTGTGGTTTGAAGAGAAATAGCGTGAATAACCACGAAGCTAACTTGAGCACCGTTGATGTCAGCAAGACGTGAACCACTATACAAGCGTGCCCGCGGAAAGGTGGCAGGGATGTCCTGCGAAAGTGGTCGAGATGCGGGTCCAGGATTCGGGCTGCAAGTAAAACAAGGAAGGGGGAGGGCGATAGGGAGGTCTCTGATCGTGACTCCCACGATGCTGCATTTTTCTGCGACGTCGGGTTTCAAGGTACCCCTGGAAAAGCTGGGGTCACCAAGGACCTTTGGCCAAGATCACCCCTGACAAAGCCCGGACGAGAGGGCCGAAAATGGGGAAAAGCCTCAAGACCCGCAGAATGGCCGTTTTTCTCTCTCCCGGGTAACGGTCATTACCCCGGGGGAGGGGAGGGGGGGGGGTCGGGCGGAAGGGTAACGGTAACGGCGGCCGCGCCGTGCACCCGCCAGGGTGCGTCCGCGCCGCCGGCGCATCAATCGGCCGCATGTGGGGAGGGGGTCCCGGGCCCCCCCGCCCCAGTACGATCGCTTGCGTTAGTTACCCGGGAGGACGGGGGTGGCCCGGGTGACGAGCGTTACCCTCGGGAGGAAACAAGCTTGATATTGCCACGAATCCCGACCTTGGAGGACAAGTGGGCGTGACTTGCGAGGAGGAGAACAAACAAAGGAGAGGATGCCTATAGGGCGCATGATGCTGATTCAGTTGCCTGTTTGACGTTGTGCCGCATTCAGGCGCATTATGTTGGTTCCTGTTATGTCCGTTTGATGCTGGACTACTTTGTCGGGGCGTTTCCGACCATCTTGGAGCCGTGTTGAGCAGTCTTCGGACCCTGGGGCGTCTCCGACCATCTCGGGGCCCTCTTAGGCAGTCTTGGGACCCTCTTGGGGGCCTCTGGGGGCTTCCTGGAGACTTCTTGGAGGCTTCTTGGAGCCTCTTGGGAGCCTCTTGGGACCTCCCGGGGCTTTGGGCGGAGAACCCGAAATGTCGGTCCCTGCCCCCCCCTCTGGGGCTGCTCCAGGGGCGTTCCTTGGGCAGTCTTAGGCCGTCTTGGGGGTGTCTTAGGCTGTCTTGGGGGCGTCTTCGGCCGTCTGGGCGCCCTCCTGGGGGCCTATCAACTCTTAGATTCTCCGAAGGCGAGCTCCTTCCTGGAACGCCCTCCATGTGTGAGTGGAGCTGGGAGGTCTCGGGGCGCCTGCGTGCGGCGCCAAGGTGAGAGAGCCACCAGCACACGACAGCTGCGCGACCGAAGGAGGCGAACGGGCGGTCCCCGATCTGGCAAGTCGGAGCGGGCGGCCAGATACGTACGGCAGGTTCGTGTCGTGACGACCCTGGTGGGGGTTTCTGACACCGCCTGGATCGTTCAGCGTTGAACGATCGGCGGCTATTCGATCGCCCGATCGTTCCATGTAGGCCGATTCTAGGCCACGTGGCGGCGTGCAACGTTGAACGTCTGCGGCGGGAAAGCCGCTGGTCGACACGACGCGAACCTACCATCTGTGGGCGGGGCGTGATGTCCGTGAGCTGCTCAAGACGTGCAAACGGAAGCCAGATCGAAGGGAAATGCGTCCTCCATCAGTGTTATGGTCCCATATTTCCGACGATGCGTTTTTCCGAACCTGTCGCCGTTGCTTGCTCGAAGAGCGCCTCAGCGGCGCCATCCATATTGTATCACCGAGCCCTTCGGAGAGCAGGCAGTGCTCAAACAGTACTGGCTCGGGCTGCATTTGTGCTAGTCGCAAAAAAACAGCGATCGACACCATCGTCACACATCGCTTGATAGTAACAGTCCTGGCGTGTATCCTCGATTCGTCCCATGGAGCCGCTGATCGGGCTCCTGGACCATGAGAAATGGATCCATGATGACCTTCCTGGGAAGCGGTCGAGACCTATGGTCAGGGGGACGTAAGACCCGGGTACAGTGGACTCGGAAATCCCCGACGAGGTCGTCAAAAAATGACGAGGCCGAGCCTGCATTTTGACGAGGCCTCCCGCTGCAGACATCCCACGAAACTCCTCCTCGTCAAAATCCGAGGCGCGGTCGTCAAAAAACGATGGCGAACCCGAGTCCTGGCAAACCCGGGTCTTACGCTCCCCCGATATGGGGCCGCAGATTGAAAAATGACATCGTCGGATGTCTGGGGTTGCAGGCTTTGAAAGCGGGAGCCACAGGCAAAGTTGGTGCCCTTCGAGCCCCCGGCTTCGTTGGGGCCGTGCGTGTGAAAGACTGAGTTGAGTTCAGCACACCACCATGCGAATCACCGGCAACGCAGGACTATGTGGAGCCTCTCGGGCCATCTTGGAGAGTTATGAAGCCCAGAAGCCGACAACGGAGAAGAATCGAGAAAAAAATATGGAAATCAATGAGTTTGGGCTCTTGGGGGTCTCTTGAGAGACCTCTTGGATGACAAGTGGGCGCGACTTTCGAGCAAGAGAACAGCAAAGAAGAGGATGCCCATCGAGCGCGTGACGTTGGTTTCCGTGTTGTCCGTTTGGGGCTGTGACGCTTTGTCGGGGCGTCACCAGCCATCACGGGGCTCTCTGGGGGGGGTCTTGGGACCGTCTTCAAGGCTTCTGGGGGGTTCCTGGAGGCCTCTTCGAGGCTTCTCGGGGCCTCTTGGAGGCCTCTTGTGGGCCTCCTGGGGGCCTCTTGGGGCCTCCTGGAAGTCTCTTGGGGCGGGGAGCCCGAAATGTCGGTCCCTGCCTCCTCTCTGGGGGCTCTCTTTGGACGCTCCTGGGGCCTTTTGAGGCCGTCTTGGAGGCCTCTGGGGCTGTCTTGAGGGCGTCTTGGACCGTCTGGGCGCTGTGTTGGGGACCTCTTAGGCCGTCCTGGGGGGATCTTTGGGGTGTCTTGCGTCGTCTCCGAGCGTCAGGAAGCCGAACAAGCGAAAACGCGAAAAACCTTCAAACACACAAGGGAAAACAATTAATTTTGGGGCTCTCCCGGGGGGCCTCTTGGAGGCCTCCCGGACCGCTCGGGGCTCCCTGGGCCGTCTAGACCGCTGAATCGGCGGCGCGTGGCCCTCTTACACCATCTTGTGGATCATCTTGTGGCCGCCTGTACCGCCAGAAAGCGCGTCTGCCGCAATTGGGCCGTCTTCCGCCGTCTTCCGCCGGACGTCTGCTGGCGTTCGTCGCGTGGCCGGGGCCATGTCCGGGGGGTCCCCCCCAGGGGAACACAAAACGGGACCCAGGGGAGAAGCCCCAGGACTGCCAGGAACCCCTCTCCCTCGAAGGGCCCTCTCCTGACGCCGCACTGTGTCCTCGCGACGCCGGCCTCAGATCTCGACACACGCTCCCATGGGGTGGGGCCGGCTGCTCGGACCCGGAGTCGCCTCTGACGGCCCATGGGGGGCCGGGCAGACTCCAGAGGACGTCGCCGTGGGAGCTCGACCACAGGAGACCTTTCACAAGAAAACCGCAGCCCTGCGACCCCAGGGCGTCCACTGATTTTCGGCGTGGGAACGCCACGCTCTCCATCGCAAAGACCATCGAGACCCAGAAAACTTATTGGGAACCCTGGAGGCAGGCAGGGTTTTTCTTGGCGTGGGCTTCCACTCGTGAGTAAACACTGGCTGGATAGATTCTTGAAATTGCGTCGCATGGATCGGACCCCTTTCCTTCCGTGGTGGCCTCGTCGCGCAGGGAAGCCAACCAAACGATGCAAGCAGGCACGGATCCCAGCGCGAAGAGCAGCCGGAACTGCCACAACTCCCACACCGGGATCCTGCACAGACTCGACTCCCTGACCTGGCAGAAGGGAACAAGTTGTGTTCCGACAAACAAATAGAAAACGCTTGAACATAAACTGACGGAGGTCAGCGATGATGTCTTGGATGGGCACTCGACCGCCCTAGGCACCTGAGGCGCCATCAGGGGGCTCTAGGGCCGATCCGAGAAATTTGCGCGGAACTCCGACAATGTTCGTTCATGCCATTCTTTGTTTTCCAAATCTTGCTTCGAAAGATCCCCACCCAAGAACGCGCAGCGGGATACCCAGGGAGCGCCGGAACCCAGGGAGGCGGGGTACCCAGGGAGCACCAGCCAGAGTGCTCCCAACAACTGCCTTTCAATGATGGTGAGATGAAAGTAATCTCACGCCGTGCTCCAGCAGCTGAAAGGAATTCACTCACCTTCAGATCATGGAAATTCGCCTTCATTCACCTTCAACCCACGGCGAATTGAAGGTAACTCACCCGGCGGGTTAGAGGTAACTCGGCCTCCGCCCTATCCCCCACCCCGTCCCCGCACCAGCCGGGAGTTACCGTCTACTGCCGGTCAGTTAAAGGTGATTCACCGTCAGTTCAAGGTAACCTAATTAATGGTAGTTTGATGTGAACTGCCTTTACCTGGATTTGTAATAAAGGTACCTCGCCCTGTGTGTGCCAACTTCAACCAACCGTCAAAAGTGATTACCCACCACCTGTTAAAGGCAACTCACCGTGAATTACCGTCAACTCACCGTCAAGTGAAGGCACGGTAGGTTACCTGCAGCTGACGGGGACGTTAAAGGTAACCCACCGTCAATCAGCTGTGACCGAAGCACGGTCAAGGTAACTCGCCTGGCCTGTTAGAGGCAACTCGGCCTTCACCCTGCCCCCCGCCCCCTGCCCCACCCAGAGTGACCTCCAACTGACGTTCCGTCAAGGGTAGCCCCCGTCAGTTGAAGGTAACTCGCTGTGAGTCCCACCAGCCCTCTGGGCGTGGGTGGTTTGGCGAGCTTCCTCTTCCAACCTCCTCCTTCCCCTTCGTGCCAGGGCTTACCCCTCCCTCTGCCCCCTCCCCCCTGGACCCTGGACGGGGGGCTCGGGCCCGGCTGGAGCGTCCGAGATGGCCTCGGCGAGGAGGCACAAATGATTGGTGGTGCTCCGGTGTTGCCCACACGCTGGTCTCCTGAGGGGGGGGCGAACTTGGGACCCCCCCTGCTCTGATCCAACTTCCCCGGAGAGGGCCCAAACCCAAAAGTGCCACCAGAATGGCCCCCCCAGGGCCCCCAGGAGGGCCCAAAAGAGGCGCCCAGGAGGCGCCCGGGAGGCGCCCGGGAGGCCCCCAAGAGGCCCCCAAGGTACTCCTAAGAGACAGCAAGAGGCTCTCCCGAGGCACCCACGACGCCCCACAACGACCCTGGGACCGCCAAGAGGCCCACACGCCGCCCCTATAGGACCCCAAGAAATGTTCAAGAGACATCCGAAACAATCCGAGAGACATCCAAGAGGCCTATGGCCCGCTCGCCCTCCCCCTCCCCCTCCGCCTCCTCCTCCTGCTCCTCCTCCTCCTCCTCCTCCTCCAGTCTTCCTCATCCGCCTGTTCCTTCTCCTCCCTCCTCCCCCTCTCCCTTCCCCCGCCCCCCTCTTCCTCATCCTCAAACTCCTCCTCCTTCCTCCGCCTCTGTTGCTACGGCGGATGCCCAGCTTCTTAGTCCACCGCAAGCTCCTCCACATCCCTGATCAAAGCGAATCGCCTGGGCATCTCTTCCGCATGATTTCCCCTTAACTGAAGTTGAGTTAATGGTAACTCAGGATACAGTACCTCGACCTCACCGTCAGTTACGAGTAATTCACTTAGCGCCAAGTTAAAGTACCTCACCGTGAGGTACCTTCAACGCATCGTCAGAAAGGAACTCATGGCGGGGTGAGTTGAAGGTACTTCACTGTCAGTTACTTCGAGCACACGAAGAACTAAACATAAAACACATAACGAATGATAATTAATTCGGCCTCCACCCTGTCCCATCCCGTCCCCCGCCCCACCCGGGAATTACGTTTGGCGGACGATCAATTTAAAGCCCCCCCAAACGTACAATGCATCAACATCGGTTTAAGGTAACCCGTGGTGAATTACCTTTTAATTGATTGTGGGTGTAGGGCAGCCTTTTAGGGCGTGAATGGTTTTGAGCGTTTCCTCTTCCAACCTCTTTCTCTCCCTGCGGGGATGAGTTTTCCCCTCCCCCTATGGCGCCCAGGAGGCCCCAAAAGGCCCCCCAAAGGCCCCAAAAACGCTCTCCAAAAGCACCAAAGCCGCTGCATGAAGCCCCTGGGATCACCAATGGGCCCCCAACACTCTCAAATAGGACCCAAAGGAACTCGCAAGAGATACTCGAAAAGACTCTGAGAGACATTCAAGAAACCTCTGGCCTTTCTGCTCGCCTTCTTTCCCCTTCTCTCCCTCATCCGCCTGTTCCTCCCCCTCGATCCTCCCTCCTCCCCCTCTCCCTTCCCCTCCTCCTCTTCTTCCTTGTTCCCCCTCTGTGGGCACGTCGGATTCCCCAGCCTTCAGTTCACAGCATGCTCCCCCGCATCCCTGATCAAGGCAACTCGCCTGGGTATCGTTTCCAAATGGGCTGGAGGGGTGAAACGAAGCGTTTAGAATTCCCGCTAGCTGACGGCGAATTGAAGGTCGCTCACGCTGTGTTACCTTTACCCCACCGCCAGAAACAAATACTTCACTCACCGTCAGGTTGTAACTCCCCGTGAGGTACCTGCAGCACACCGTCAATTGCAAACAACCATGGTGGACTGTTTTCTCCGCGCGATCAATTCAAGGCAACGCACCGTCAAATGCATCCAACCACAAAAAAAATCGAACGTAACTCACCCGCCGGGTTGGGGGTAATTCAACCTCCACCCTGCCCCAATCCCGCCCCGCACCCCAAGCCGGAAGTTAAGCTTGACTGACGTTCAAATGAAAAAGACCCACCATCGATTGAATGAGCTACCGTCGTTTAAAGGAAACCCGCTGTGATTCATCTTTTCTACCGACACTGAGTAAAGGGGCGCTCACGGTAACCTACATCTAACCAACCGCCAATGAGAATTACTTCACTCGCCGTCTGGTGGAAACAACTCACTCTGTGTTACACGTTACCCACCGTCAGCTAAAGGAAACAGTACAATACCTTTGAAGCGACGGTGAATGGATTACCTTTAGCCTACGGATGGTTCAAAATAGCCCACCGTGGCTTACGTTCAACGCACCGTGGAATACCTTCAACGGGCGACGAACTCAAACAAACCCTCCGTGAACCACCTTTCCGACGATGAAATTAAATCTAACTCGCCCAAGGGGTTAAAATAACTCGGCCTCCGCCCCGCCCCCCCCCGCCCCCCGCCACGCCCCCCGCCCCGCCCGACGCCGCACCCGGAAATGAACTTTGACCGACGATGAGTTGAGGGGGACCCACCGCGAAATACCACTAACTCATCATCACTTGGAGGTAGACCGTCGTGAATTCCCTTGCACTGACGGTGAGGTAAGAGGAACCCTCGCGGTGTTACCTTTTTAAGGCGCCGTCAACTCGAGGTACTGTACTGGCCGCCAGCTAAGAGTACCCCACCGCGACTGACCCGTATCTACAGTGTGTTAAAAGTACCTCACGATGAATTGCATTTTCCTCACGGTGTTCTCAAAGACATTCACCGTCAGTTACATGTTAGCCTGCGGTGAAGGTGACTAACTCATGCGGCGTTTGAAAAAGTACCTCGGCCCCCGCCCTTGCCCCCCACCCCCCCTCCAAACCTGGGGGTTGCCTTCTACCGAATGTCAAATTAGCAATAACTTGCCGTCAAGTAAAAAGTACCTCACCGCGAAATCAAGATAACACAACTGGCGGGCCAACAAACCAAACTTTCGCCCTGCCTCCCACCCCGTCTCCCGCCCCACTGGCTCAGTTGCCCTGTAACACACAGTTTGTTCAAGGTAATTCACGGTGGATGCCCTTTGAATCACCACCAGTGGGATATAGCTCGCTGTGAATTAAAGTAACACAAAACATACTGTTTTCTTCCGCACTACCATCCAAAAAACTAAGCCACTCACAGTCCGTTGAAAGTAACCCACGGCGACTTACACCTACACCTACTCCACCGACATTCACAGGTCACCCAGGGTGAATCACCATTCGCCGACAGTAAATGAGCTACCTTCCACGGGTGGAAATTATACTAGCTATTCGCCGCGAGCTGCCCCTAACTGACCGGCAGGTAAAAATCACTCGCCGTGAGTTCCCCTTTCGTGACGGCCAGTCACGCGCCATCGCTCGGACGTCAATTCCCCGTGCATTTCTCGGCTTCGTGCATGCATTGTTCCGCAAACTGACCCAAAATGCTCCTCGAGGGTCCTCGCCGGAAAAAACAAAACACACGTCCGAGCGATGCCAATGTCGAGGAAAGTCACTGTGAACTACCTTCACCTGGCGCTGGGTTAAAGGCAGCGCGCCCCGCGGGTTCGAGGTACCTCGGCGTCTATGCTGCGCTCCGCTCCGTCCAAAGCCTCACCTAAGAGCTTCCTTTAATTGAAAGGACGAAACTGAAAGGTACATTAAAGGAGGTAAGGTCAAGGTACAATCAGAGGCAAAAAAAGTAAATCAAAGCAGGTGGTGTAAAGGAGGCCAACACGGCGTTTTCTACTCACTGTCCCCCACCCTGTCCACTGCCCCACCCGAGGTTACCTTCAGCTGACTGCAAATGAAAGGTAACCCGCCGTCAGTTAAAGATAACCATCGTGAAATCAAGGTAATGCACTGTGAATTACCTTTAACTGACGGTGAGACACTAAATGCAAGCGACCCGGACATGACCTGTAAACGGGCGGGACATGAGAGCGGGACTTGAAATTCAAGCGGGCGGCACATTATATTGAAAAGGACGGGCCATTCAATGCAAGCGAGAAACACTTTCAATTATAACTAAGCTGGACATTCAACGCAGGCGAGCGGGACTTGTCTTCTAAGCGGGCAACAGGTTCAACTTTAACGAGTGGCGCATTTTATTCCAGCGGGATGGACACTTAATATGGGCGGGCGCGACATTCTATGTAAACGGCTGGGACTTCCAATGTACGCGGGCGGGACATCAAACGCAAGCGGGTGGACCATTCAGTGCAAGCGGGCGGGAAATTACATTCATTGAAGCGGGCGGGACAACACATGCAAGCGTACGGATCATCAGATGCAAGGGCGCGGGACATTGAATGTGAACGGGTGAGCCATTCAATGCAAACGGCTGGGGCATGAAATGTAAGCGGGTGGTGAATTAACTGCAAGCTGCCGGGCGATTGATCGCACGTGGGTGGGACATTGAATGTAAGCGAGTGGATTATTAATTGTAAGCGGGAGGGATGTTCAACGCAAGCGGGCGGATAACTAAATGTAATCGGACGGGGCATTAAACGCGAACGGGCGCGACACTTAATGTAAACGGGTGCTGCGTTAAATGCAAGCAGCGGGGGCATCAAATGAAAGCGGGTGGGCGTTACATGCAATCTGGCGGAACATTTGAATTTTAGGGGTGGGCAATTACAAGTAATGAAGCGAGCGGAAGCACGCGACATCATGGCGCGCGGGTCGGGATCGGATGGGGAGGAATATGGGCCAGCGGGGCGTTAAACTATGACGCACCGTTTGGCTGGCGCGCAACAGCCCTAGCGGGAAAATCGAAACCGGACCCTGACGGGCAGTTCGAGTCGGGCGGGTTTTAGAATACGGTGCACCATCTGGTTGGAACGCGACACCCCCGGGATTAGCCATCGGCTCTCCCGGGATTGCCCGTCTACTCCGCCGGGAGTAGCCTTCGACTCGTCTGGGAATAGCCGTCTATTCCCCCAAGAAAAGACTTCGGCTCCTAAGAGTTCGTCGTCTACTCCTCCAGAACTAATGTTCTACTCCCCCAGCTGTGGCCTTCTACTCCCCCGGCAAAAAATAGCATTCCATTGTAGCCCCTCGGGGGTAGCCGTGTACGCCAGTTTTGTAATCCCATGGGAATAGAAGCGAACCCGCCCCGAGCGAAATGAAGCCACCTCTGAGCTACAAGAGACTCGCCTTGAAGTAAGAAGGAAACTCCCCCTGAAGTGAAGGAAACTCACCCTGACCTGAAGGAAACCCACCCTGGGCCTAAGGAAGCTCACCGTGGACTTGAGGAGAAGCGACCTGGGCTTAAGGAAACGGACCCTGGGCTTTAGGAAACTCGCCCTGGCATCAAGGGAACCTGCCCAAAACTATGGGGAACTCGCCCTGGGCTGACGGAGCTTCACACTGGGCTGAGGGAACCTCACAGCGGGCTGGGGAAATCCGCCCTGGACTTAAGAAGATGCATGCCGAATGCAGAACACTCGACCGCCGGCCCGTCCGCCGGCCCGTCCCCCGTCCCGCCCGGGAGTCTTGCAACAAGGCCTGAATTCACCATGAATTACTTCTATCATGCAGCTCCACTTGGGGGTGGCGGAAGCGGGGGGGGCAACCAAACCGCCGCTGAGACAGCACAAGGCCGCTGAAAACACAACCAAACTCGCTTAATTACGCAACGATGCGCAACAACAATGGAATCTCCCATCGGGAAGGGCGCCACGCAAAACCAAGTTGGCACAGCGGAGCCGTAGAGTGGGCAGTTCGGAACAACTCACACTCACGTCAAACTCAGTTGAAACTCACTTACGCTGGACGGCGTGTAAAACACAAAGAATCACTCAGATGAACAAAGGAGAAGGCGGCAACTTGCCCTTTTACTGGCGGTGTGTGGGCTACCTTCCACTCGCCGTGCGTGAAACAAATAACTCACGGTAAATGAAATGCCTGCAAGTCGCGCTGCAGCAGGGGGTTTCACCATGATATGCGTTGAACTCACGTTCGCCGACAAGACCGAAAGGAAACTCACGGCGCGTACCATTTGTTCAGGGCCAAGGTTGGTTAGCGATCAAAGGTGCCTGTGCGACGCACAGCAATTTCAAACCACTTCACTTTGAATTCGATTCGCTTCACCGGCACCTGGCGGCCACTGGCCCAAGCCCACTGTGGTTGTTAAAAAACAAATGTCCGTGACGTACCGTGACCACACATTGAGTTGAGGGTGCTTCACGGTGGACTATCCTTAGCTGGCGGTGTGTTAAAGGTAGCTCACTGTGGTTTCCGCTTGACTGACAATGGGCGATCTACCTGCTACCCACGATTATTTTTTACAAGGGTCACTCACCGCGCATGAACCCTACATCCTGGGCAAGGGCGTCCCAAGTGATTGATACGCGGCGAACTCCAGCACAGCCATCGTGGCGTACCTTCCCCCAGCGGTGAACTGGATGAGAACTCACCATGTAATGTCGGTGGGTGAAGTACCTGTAACCCACGGTGAATTAGAGGTTGCCCACCGTGAATATGTTTTCCACTCATGGGCAATGCATTACCTTTAACTCACGGTGTGCATGCAGGAAACCACCGTGAGTGGCCCCTATCTCTAAAAGCGAATTACCGTTTACATCATAATTCATCAACGTGGTAACCCGCGGATTGTTGTTTACGCACGGTGTGGCTAAAAACGTAAGCCACGTGGAATACCTCTTGACCAGCCCGCGACGAGTAAGTTACCCTCAGCCCGCGGCGAACTAAACATTACCCTACCTGAGCCATCCTTCAACTGGCGATGGAAACTTACATTTACCTCACGGGCGGTTGTCAGTAACTCACGGCGGCTTACCTCGAACTGGTCGTGAACAGAAAATGAGCCACCCACCGCCTGATTAACGTAGTTCACGGTGAGCCATTTCTTGTCATATAAAAAAGGAAAAACACTGTGACTAACAAAAGCAGCAAGCCAAGAGTTTGTTTTTTTTTCCGTCGGGGGAGTGAGTTGCCTTCAACTCCCCGTGGGATATCACTACCATAGGGCCGCAAGTAATACACAGTGAGTTACCGACATCACTGATGGCTTAGCTCAGCCTGGGCCGCCTCCAACTGACGGTCACTAAACGACCTGTAACTCACGGTGAATTATCGGTCGCCCACCGCGAATTCCAGTTCAATCACCGTCAGTGAGCTAGCTGCTTACAATTCACGGCGTGTGAGCATAACTCACAGTGAATGAGAAGTAGCGCGCCGTGACGTACCTGGACCTCGCAGTGGGTAAACTGTAGCTGTGGGGGTCATGGCAAGCACATGTTGGGCAGCGTGGCCGCGGGATGCTGCGCGTGCCAAGCGGGTCATGAGTTCTTGTTTCTGAATCTAACAGCCCCGTCCTGCCGGGTGGAAACAAAAACTCATGCAAGGGCTCCCAACTTCGCGCTTCGCGCTGCGCGAAGTGCGAAGTGCGAATAACTTCGCGCTCTCGCGCCGCCTCCCAGGAGAAGAGAGGAGGATGAGGGGGAATCGGAGCCGAACCGCGAAGCGCGAAGCGCGAATAACTTCGCGCCCTCGAGGGCGCCCTTGCTCATGAAAGCTAGTTGCCCGAGATCCGTGCAGATTTCTTGGGTCGGCACGCCAAAACCTTTGCCCTAGCGGCAAGCACTGCCTTGCGTGTCGCTCCGCATCGTGGGGCGGGAAGTTCGGGAAACAATCGGAGGCGCTGACGCTTCCGAGCTGGGACGTGGCCGGCGTGTCGCGCCGAAGCGCAGCGGGCCAGCAACGGAGGAGCAACAGATCCGCTGAGCAAAAAAGTCCTGACCGTATATTTGTGCCGTTTCAGGGGAACAAAAAGTGACATAAACATAAAAAGCTCGGAGGTTCGCGCGGATTTCTCGGATCGGCGCTGGGGCTCCCCGGCGGCGCCTCCGGCGCCGCCTCTGGCGCGCTCCGCGCGCCAGGGAGGGGGGTCCAGCGCTGATCCGAGAAATCCGCGCGGACCTCCGAGTTTTTATGTTTATGCCACTTTTTGTTCCCCTACATTTGTCCTCCCTCGGGGGCCGGCATGCCCTTCAGCAGCGCCATCGCGACCAGGTAGGGCACCACCTGGCCCACGGACTGCCAGAAGAACGCCCGCGCCACCCGGCCGCTGGCACCGCCCGCGCCGTGCCCGCCGTGCGCGGAGGAGACGGCGGAGAGCGGGTAGATGCCGCCAACGCCGACGCCCAGCAGCAGCCGGCCCAGGCACACGACCGTCGAGCAGGAAAGACGGCATGCAAACACATCAGCTTTCGGAGGTCCGCGCGGATCTTCTGGGTGGGCGCTGGGCCCACCTTCTTGGCGCGCGGAGAGCGCCCGGGGCGGCGCCGGGAACGCCAGCGCAGCCTCAGGGAACTTTGCGCGGTCCCTAGAAAAATAATGGTTATGCTGATTTCCCTCCCTCGAGATCAAATAGGTGCTGTCCGGCGACCCGAAGGCCATGGCCGGCACCAGGGACCCGACCACGGTGAGCAGCAACGTGACCCGCATCGCCTGCACGCACCCAATCACGTCGCCCAGCCGGCCCATCGTCACCATCCCGAACATGCAGCCCAGGAACGCGGCTGGCAGCGTCACCTCCTGGCTCCAGGCAGGCTCCTCGACGGCCTTGTTCAGGATCTCCACGGCTATGGACGCCTGAGGGGCAACAGTAGGGGGGACTGACTGGCTCCTCAAGAGGGGTTGCATCGACTTGGAATCGGCGATACAACGCCGATGTATTGGCGATACGCTCCCGATAGCAAGTCCACAGGCTCCTAGGCAGGGTGAGTTACCAGGCTCCGACTGGCGATCAGTGCGCGATCGGGGGTCGACGCGTCCCCCCTGAGTCCATCCCCTCGAACGTTGCCCCTGGATGCCGAAGTGAAGTTGTACTGGATGCTGAAGTTGCCCATCGCGGGCACGAAGCCGCAGTCCTTCGGCGGCTAGCCCAGGGGGGAGTGAGAAGGAGCAGGCCTTTTCAGAAGGCGGCGGGGTTTCTCAGAAGTCCTCGCGCCTTCTGACAAGTCTTCCGCGCCTTCGGAAAACTCGCAGAAGGCTCCTCGGAAGGCGAGGGGTCTTGTGAGACGCGCCGCCGCCCTGCGAGGAGGCCTGCCCCCTCTCACCTCCCCCCCGGGCTCGCCGCTGGCAGTTCCCGAGGAAGAGAAAGGACAATACGAATAATAATAATAATAATAATAATAATAATAATAATAAAAGTATTAATAATAATAACAATAAAATTAATAATGATAATACCAATGATAATAATAAGACTAACAATAAGAATACCAATAATAGTAGTAGTAATAATACTAATCATAATAATAATAACAATAATGATAATACTAATACTAATACCAGGAACAACACATAATACGAAGAAAAAGATGAGGCAACACAACAGCAATGATAATACCGATAATAATAACACCAACAGGGACAAATGAGAAGACAAAGAGAAACGCACGTCACGAGCACAAGCTTTTGGAGTTCCAAGCCAGTTTCTCGGGCCGTCGCTGGCCCCATGGCGGGCGGAGCGCGCCAGAAAAGGACGGCCCGGCGCCGATCCAGAGCAAGCCGCGCGGGCCCTCGAGAGCGGCCAGAAAGCCCCTGCCTGGCCCTCTTGGGAAGCTGCTGCCTCGTCGTCTCGCCATCGCTCGGACGTCCATTGCCCGTGCATTTGTCGATTTCGCACATATATATATATATATATATATATATATATATATATTCTGGTGATTCTGGAGATCGGACAGTGCGGGGCGCCCGCGCCTCGCCGCAGCCTTCGGGCCCGTAGGCCGCGGGCAGAAGAGGGGGAGACCGAGCAGCGTGCTCAACGGCCTGGCCGCTCGGCCCAGCGCGGGCACAACGGCCTCGGAGCCTCCGCCTCAGCGCGGCATGGGCTTGCCCGTCTGGGGATCCGTGCCGCCCATGATGCGGGCGATCCTCCGCTGGCGATCCCGATCTCGAGGGTCGCGCACGTCCAACCTCCTGCATGGGCCCGCGAGGTTCCTGGCCACCTGCTTCGAGTAGGAGCCGCACACGACGCACGCCGCGAACTCGCCGACCATCTTGATATGGTGCGGCCTGGGAGGCGGGGCGCCCGCTTGGGGCGCCGCCGGCGCCTGGCTGCCTCGAGGCCCATCTGCCGGGGCCGCGCGGAACTGGGAGCCCGCTGCCGCGCTGCCAGGGGGTTGGCAGGGGCCCGAGGCCACCCCTGCACGCGCCAGGGCCGTCGTAGGAGTAGTTAGGGACTTACCGCCATCTTCCAAGCGTTCTCGCGCATGTCCTCGGCGCGCGCCCAAGAGGGGCGAGCGCGCGTCGGCTTCCCCGCGAAGCTGCGAGGCAGCGCCGCGGCCTCGGCCCCCGAGGCTGGAGGGCGCGGGCCCGTCCAGAGAGCGCTCCAGCTCGGCGTCGATCACGAGCGCGGGCTGGCCGGGAGGCACTGCCTGATCCCCCGGCGGCGCCCGAACTCCAGGTGCCCCCTGCGCCCCAGTTCGACCGCCAAGCGGTGCTCGATCTCCAGCGCGCACTCGATCTTGCAAAGGAGCTCGCGCTCCTGGTGGGACCCGACCTCCAGGTGGTTCCCTCGCTTCAGGAGGCGCGGCCGATGCATGCGCCCGATCTCCAGAAGGTGCTTGAGCTCCTGGTGGCACTTGATTCCCTTCAGGCCCCCCCCTGCTGCTGGTGGTGTCAAGACTCCTGGGGCGGGCCCGTCCACGTCCAGGGGGCGCCCCAGCTCGGCGTCGATTCCGAGCGCAGGCTGGCTGACAGGCACTGCCTGCTCGCCAGGGGGCGTTCGATCTCCAAGCGCCCCCTGCGATTCAGCTCGAATGCCCGGCGGCGCCGAGCCGTTGTCGTCGTCGATGTCTGCAGCTCCTCCACGTGGGGTGGTCGAGTGGATGCCCCTGGGTTGGGGGCAGGGCCCTGAGGTGCTCGCGAAGCTACTCCTCTTCTCCCTGCCCCGCTCAACGCGCCGCCCCGCGAGGAAGTCGAGCCCCGCCCACGCTGCCCCGCCAGTGGCGGCGCGCTTCCCACCCCTCGCTCCGTCGGCAACCCTTATGCAAGGGCTCGCGGTGCTCGGGGGGGCCAACGTGCAACTCGACAACCTCCTCCACGTTGTCGCCCACAGCGTGGCGCAGACGTACAGGCCCACTGTCTTGAGCTACTCGGCCCCCAGGATGCCCCCGACCTTGCGAAGGTGCATGGGCTTCTGGCGGGGCCCGACCTCCAGGTGGCTTTTCTGCATCAGGTGGCGCGGCAGCTGTACGTACTCGATCTCCAGCAGGTGCTTGACCTTGTAGTGGTACTTGATCTTCCCCAAGCCCCCCTGCTGCTAGTGGCGCTGGAAGTCCTGGCGGTGCCGGAACCGCACGTGGAACCCGCGCTTTAGCAGGTGCCCGAGCTTCAGGTGGCACCTACACTCCAGAAGGAACGCTTCCTGCGAGCCTGCAGCCACGCTCCTGCAGAGGGAACTTCGCGCGCTGGGTCCGCGCAGTCTCGCCGCAGTTGGAACGCTGGGCGTAGCCCGCGCACTCGATGAAGGCGTGGGGGTCCCGCGGTGGTGGGGTGGGGGGCGCCTGGGCGGCCTGGAAGCCGCGGTGGGCGGGTCCGCGGGCCTGGCAGTGGCCAGCGGAGCTCCGTCCAGCGCGACCCTGAAGAACGCGATGTGCGCGAGGACGCGCTCGGTCGCTCGGATGTCCTCCTTGACCTGCCACGTGGCCCCCTCAGGCGACGCACTGAGGCTAGCTCCTTCCTTGGCCCACTGGTCCGCAAGGTCGTTGTGGCACGCGTGGATCTGCGCGTCCGCTCCGAGCTCGGCCCTCTTGACCTGGGAAACGTGGGAAGCTGCCTTGATGACCTGGAAGGCGTCGCAGGGGACGAGGTCCATGTCCTCGAGACGATTCCACACTTCGGCCCAGATGTGGGCGAATGGCCGCGCTGCCTGCGTGCACCCAGCCCTGCCCCTGGCCAAGCCTCGCACGACCTGCGCGTTGTCGATGATGATGCCCATGCGGAAGGCCCCGTGCCTGAGCGCCTGCAGCAGGCCCCACAACTCCGCCAGCGCGGAGCTGGGGTCAGGAAAGGGGAGGGGTCCGTAGAGTCCTTGAACGACGAGGCTGCCGTCGGTGCTGTTCTGGAGTGCTGCCCAACCTCCATGTCGTAGCTCTTCGACGCCTTTGACCGGCCCGTCGGAAACCAAAAGCCCCGTCAGCTCGGCCTCCTTGGAAAGCTCGATCCAGGTGATCAGCCGGCCCTGGAGAGGCCAAGCCAAACCGTAGCATGGCGTACGCCTGAGGCCTCGGCCCCAAAGCATCCGAGCGTGCGCGCTGCCCGACGCGGAGGCGCCGAGATGCGAGATGTCCCTGAAGGTGGGGTCCGCGTCGTGGGCCACGAGTTTGTCCCTGACGTGCTGGCAGAGCCGCCCCTGACACTTCCAAGAGTAGTGCTGCAATGTGCCCACCTCGGCGTCGCACATCCCGCACCTCGCACTGTCGGCCTGGTTGTTGTTGTGCATGGCCTCTTGGGAGGGGAAGCCGCCGAGGACCGCCTTCTTGACAATGTCAGCGTGCTGCTTGGTCCACAAGCCCTTCTTCCGTCTCTTGATCAGCTGCCTGGCTGGCGTGAGCCACGGGGCTGGCGTGAGAGGCTGCCGCTCGTGCTTGGCCGCGGCCCACACCTCCAAAGCCCTCGCACACATCGCGTGCATCATGGCCCCTTGCAATGACTGAGGGTCGACCTGCCCCATGTTGATGGTGACGTGTTGGCCCTGAAGAAAACCTCCACGAGGTGGTAGCGTGTGTGTGTGTGTGTGTGTGTCTGTGTGTATGTGTGTGTGTCTGTGTGTGGGTGGAATAGATTTCTGGTCCGCAAAATGATCCAGGATGCTCCTCGATGGTCCTCGCCGGGAAAGAATGCCCACATCCGGACGACGCCAGGCGTCCGGCAACCGAGACGAGACGCGCGCAGATCCCGCGCGGGCGGCTGCCCCTGGCGTCGGCGCTTCCGCCTCCGATACGGCCTGCCCCTTGGAGGACCTGGGGCCCCCCTGGGCCTCGTGGGGGGTGCTCTGGGGGCCGTGGGGGTCTCCTCGGAAGTCTTGGGGGGCACCTCGGGCCAGGCGCACTCCTGGCGCAAAAGGTGCCGATGCCGCTACTCCCCAGACCTCTCCCAGGGTGCGTTCTAACAAGAATTTCGAGGCGAACCCGACGGTGGCGACGAGGGCCTCCGAGGAGGCCCAATTACTCACTGCGTGGAGCTCCCCATATGTGCATCTCATGTTTTATGTCATGCCGTGGTGAGCGTCTGTTCATGAGCGGTCGACTACAATAGCGCGTCCACGTGGGCGACAGGGCCGACGAAGACGAGTGACCCCTAATGCGAGTGATTGCGTATGAGTCAGAGTGAGCTTTGAATCCGTCAACCTCTGCGAATCGTCCCGAAACCCAGCAGACCAAGCGAGTGCACCAACGATCCCCGCACACAACCACCGCCCCCCCCTCGCAGTCACCCCCTATGAATACATATATATATATATATGTATATATATACATATATATATATATATATTATATATGTGTATATATATATATACACACTCATATATATATATATATATATATATATATACACTAGAACCACGCGCGCGCTTCGCGCGCTTAGGTTCTAGCTAGGAGGCGAGCTTGAGTCAACGAAAGTCGCAGGGAAGGGGGCAGGGGGAAGAAGGCCAGAGAGCGCTGAAGGATACAAATACTGGAACCCTCTTGTGATTTTGTGGGGGGCCTCGTCCGGCCGCTCGCTGGGAGTTTGACGTAGCTTCTCGGGAGCCTCTGAACCTGTCGGGGGCCTCCTGGAAGCAGGTTCGAAGCATTTTGGGGGCCGATTTGGGGCTTCTCGGGGCCTCCTTTGGGCCTCTTGGGGGTCTCCTGGGGCCTCTTGAGGGGCCTCCTTGGGGCCTCCTGGCGGCCTCTTGGGGCGGAAGGCTCGAGCTTGCGGTTCGTGGTCCCCCTCTGGGCCCCCTCTTGGGCCCGTCTTGGGGCCCTCTTGGGCCATCTTGGGCGCCTCTTGGGCCGTCTTGGGGCCCTCTTGGGCTGTCCTGGGGCCCTCTTGGAAGCTTCTTGGGCCGTCTTGGGGCGGTCTTGGAGGCCTCTTGGGCCGTCTTGGACGCGGTGAAAGCCGAAGATGCGAACATGCGAAAAATATACGTTTTCCCATGGGAATGGCACGATTTTTGTTTCTTGGACCTCTCTTGGGGTGCCTCTCGGAACGTCTTGGGCTGATTTTGGAAGCCTTTTGGCGCCTCTGGGCGGCGTTTTGGCGCCTCCTGGGATGTGTTGGGCCGGAAGCTCGGAATTCGAGAGTGGCTTTCTCCTTCTGGGACCCCTCTCGAAGTCGGCCTCCTTGGGGCCTCCTGGCGGCCTCTTGGGGCGGAAGGCTCGAGCTTGCGGTTCGTGGTCCCCCTCTGGGCCCCCTCTTGGGCCCGTCTTGGGGCCCTCTTGGGCCATCTTGGGCGCCTCTTGGGCCGTCTTGGGGCCCTCTCGGGCTGTCCTGGGGCCCTCTTGGAAGCTTCTTGGGCCGTCTTGGGGCGGTCTTGGAGGCCTCTTGGGCCGTCTTGGACGCGGTGAAAGCCCAAGATGCGAACATGCGAAAAATATACGTTTTCCCATAGGAATGGCACGATTTTTGTTTCTTGGACCTCTCTTGGGGTGCCTCTCGGAACGTCTTGGGCTGATTTTGGAAGCCTTTTGGCGCCTCTGGGCGGCGTTTTGGCGCCTCCTGGGATGTGTTGGGCCGGAATCTCGTGGCTTTCTCCTTCTGGGACCCCTCTCGAAGTCGTCTTGGGGTTCTCTTGGGCCGTCTTGGGGCCGTCCTGAGCCACTCGTGCGCAGCCTTGGAGCGCTCCCGGAGGCCTCCTAGGCCGTCTTGGAGGCCTCTTGGGCCGTCTTGGACGCGGTGAAAGCCCAAGATGCGAACATGCGAGAAATATACGTTTTCCAATAGGGCACGATTTTTGTTTCTTGGACCTCTTTTGGGGTGCCTCTCGGAACGTCTTGGGGCCTCCTGGCGGCCTCTTGGGGCGGAAGGCTCGAGCTTGCGGTTCGTGGTCCCCCTCTGGGCCCCTCTTGGGCCCGTCTTGGGGCCCTCTTGGGCCATCTTGGGCGCCTCTTGGGCCGTCTTGGGGCCCTCTTGGGCTGTCCTGGGGCCCTCTTGGAAGCTTCTTGGGCCGTCTTGGGGCGGTCTTGGGCGCCTCTTGGGCCGTCTTGGACGCGGCGAAAGCCCAAGAGGCGAACATGCGAAAAATATACGTTTTCCCATAAGAATGGCACGATTTTTGCTTCTTGGGCCTCTCTTGGGCTGCCTCTCGGAGCGTCTTGGAGGCTTCTGGGACCTTCTTGGTGTCATGACAGGCGTCTTGGAAGGCATCTGGAGCCATCGGAGCGCGTTCCGAAGCCGCCTGCGAACGATCTTGGACGGCGTCCGGCGGTCCGACGAGCCTCCGGGCCCCCCGGAGCCCACATTTGTGGTCGAGGTCCCGGCCCCGGGCCCCCGGACCCGGTGCGCCGATATATGTGTGTGTATATATATATATATATATATATGTCCTGGACTTCGGAACAAACGTTCTGCTCGCGTCAAGGACCTTCGAGCAAAGCGCCCTCCTCCTCCTCCTCCTCCTGTTCCTCCGCCCCCTCCCTTCTCCTGCTCCTGCTCCTCCTCCTCATCCTCCTGCTCCCCCTCCCCCTCCGCACCCCCATGCCCCTCCTCACGATCCCCCGCCTCCTCCTCCTCCTCCTCCTGTTCCTCCTCCTCATCCTCGTTGCTGTCATTTCCCTCGCTCACGCCATCCTCCTCCTCGTCCTCAATCTCTTAGACATCATCCTCCTCATCCTTGTCGTCATCCTTCACCTCATCGTCCTGATCCCCTTGCTTCCTCCCCCAGTCCTCCTCCTCCTCCTCCTCCTCCTCTTCTTCCTCCCCCTCTTCCTCCTCAACCCTGGTTCCCCAGGGCGCGTTTCACCACTTTTGGAGGCGCAGCCCCGCCGGCGATGTTGGGCATGAAAACGAGCAAACCGCCTGAGACATCCCCACAAACTGACCGCGAACGAGCCCGTGCAACCACCCCTGGCGGCTCCCCTTAGGGGTGCTGAAACCAGCGCCCCGCCTGAGACATCCTCACAATCTGCTCTCCAAGCGAAGGATGTTGGGCCCAGAAACAAGCAAACCGCCTGAGACATCCCCACAAAATGGCCGCGAACGAGCCCGTGCAACCACCCCTGGCGGCTCCCCTTAGGGGTGCTGAAACCAGCGCCCCGCCTGAGACATCCTCACAATCTGCTCCCAAGCGAAGGATGTTGAGCCCAGAAACAGGCAAACCGCCTGAGACATCCCCACAAAATGGCCGCGAACGAGCCCGTGCAACCACCCCTGGCGGCTCCCCTTAGGGGTGCTGAAACCAGCGCCCCGCCTGAGACATCCTCACAATCTGCTCTCCAAGCGAAGGATGTTGAGCCCAGAAACAAGCAAACCGCCTGAGACATCCCCACAAAATGGCCGCGAACGAGCCCGTGCAACCACCCCTGGCGGCTCCCCTTAGGGGTGCTGAAACCAGCGCCCCGCCTGAGACATCCTCACAATCTGCTCTCCAAGCGAAGGATGTTGAGCCCAGAAACAAGCAAACCGCCTGAGACATCCCCACAAAATGGCCGCGAACGAGCCCGTGCAAACACCCCTGGCGGCTCCCCTTAGGGGTGCTGAAACCAGCGCCCCGCTTGAGACATCCTCCAAATCTGATGTGTGTTGAGTAAGTCTGAGTATGAGTAGGTCTGAGTATGATAATGCCTGAGTATGAGTAAGTCTGTGTATGAGTAAGTCTGTGTATGAGTAAGTCTGGGTATGAGTAGGTCTGTGTATGAGAAAGTCTGTGTATGTGTACGTCTGGGTATGAGTAAGTCTGAGTATGAGTAAATCTGTGTATGAGTAAGTCTGGGTATGAGTAAGTCTGTGTATGAGTACGTCTGGGTGTGAGTAAGTCTGTGTATGAGTAAGTCTGTGTATGAGCATGTCTGAGTGTGAGTAAGTCTGAGTATGAGTAGGTCTGAGTATGAGTGAGTCTGAGTATGAGTAAGTCTGAGTATGAGTAGGTCTGAGTATGAGGAAAGAGGAGGAGGGGAGGAGGAAAGAGGAGGAGGGAGAGGGAGCAGGAGGCGTCCAAGTAAGAACAAGAGCCCCATCTTAGGATATGGGGAACAAAAGGGAAAACGAGGCCAGGGTGGAGTATATGGGCACCTCTTCCTCCTCTGACCATCAGTCCCTCCCCCGGGGCTCGCCGCCCAGTCCTCGACGCAGCCCTCGCCGCCGCGGCTCGGCGCCCCCGCCGAGCCTGGAGGGGCAGCCGTCTCTTGCGCGGTGGGGGGTCGCAGCCCCGCGCCGCACCGCCGATGCGCCTCGGCGAGGCATCGCCGACGCCGGGGTGGAGCGACGCCGCGGGCTCTCGGCGTTGCCGCCCCGGACACGCTCCCGTCGTGAGCAACGGTGTTTCGCCGTCTTCTTGGGAGCCACCTGCGCGCCGAAGTGCGTGCCTGCATAGGTACCCCGCGAGTTGGCCATGCGGCGCAAGAGAAAGATCATCGGACAATGTGTGCAGTGTGCTGTCATGGCTGCCACCATCCTACACCAAACCTCCTCCTCGAGCCATCCTTCTCCATGTTCTCCCCCTATTGCTCTGTTGCCTCCTCCCCTCCTCCTCCTCCTCCTCCTCCTCCTCCTCCTCCTCCTCCTTATCTCCGCTCTTGCCCGTGAGCCACAAACAAATTTAGTGAAGCATAGACCGAGGAGGCAAGGATGCAAGGGTACCCTGAGGAAGGTTACCCATCCTTCTGGAAGGGAAGCAAACTGCATACAATTGAAACTTTTGACGGTGCGCACGGATTTGTTGGATCAGCGCTAGGTCCCCCTGGCGGCAGCGCGGAGGGTCCAGCGCAGATCCAAGAAATCCGCGCGGACCGTCAACAGTTTATGATTGTGCCTTTTCTCTGCGATTAACATCGGTTTCGCCTGTACAATCAATCCGTTGCAAGGGCCTCCGAAGGCCATGCCGACACTCTGCGAGCGGGGCGCGGCCAGCGAAAGCGGCCAAGGATGGGCCGAAGGGGCAGGATAGAAAGGTAATCCTGGAAAGGTGGTTCTTCTTACTATGCGGATTGACTGTCCCTTCCTCTCCTGAGTTTTGGCGGCGACTGAGGGTGGGCAAATGAGAAGGAGAAGGCCGGCCCGGGAGTCCCCTGGCCTTCTGAGAAGTCTTCTGAGCCTTCGCCGAAGACACAAACGACTTCCCAGAAGGCGCCGGGGCTTCTGATAAGCCCCGCCGCCCTCTGAGAAGGCCCCCTGGGCGGCCAAGAGGGGGGCGTCGAAGAGGGGGGGCGCAAATCATGGCCGGCGGCATGTGCGCGGCTCAGGGGAGGGAAGCCTAGGGACGCATCGAAGTCATGATGAGCTCCATGAAGTCTGGGCACATGTCACATGGCCCCCGCCATGAGATCCCCCCCCACCCCCCCCCCGGGCCCCCCCCCGAGTCATCGCCCCCCTCCTGGCCGCGCCCGATGCCGTGCGGGCTGCCCTCGGCCCCTCCCTCCTGCCCTAAAACAGGGCTAGGATCGGGATAAATCGCTCCAGAGCGTTCCGGAGCGCTCTGCGAGCGTTCCCCGAACGCTCTGGAGCGGCCGCGGCGCCCAATACATCCTCCAAACCCGCCGGGCGGCCCTCGGCCCCTCCCTCCTCCCCGCCTTTGTCGGGGATGGACAGACCCCCCTTTAGTAGAACGTGGTTTAGTGAAAACGACCTGAAGCCCAAACCTGGCGGGCGCAAGCCTGGAAAATAACGGCCGCGGCGCCCTCTCGAGAACCGAAAACGGACAATTCACTCATCGACGTGTCACTGTTGGGGGTTCTGTCCACCCCCGAGCCCCTCCCACCCCCCAGCGCTGCCCCCTGGCCTTCTCTGGCGGCCGTTCGGGGCGATCTGGGCACCCGCCGATTCTCAGAGATTTCGAGTTATCCCGATCCGATTTTGTCCCGATCTTCGCGTCGCTTTATCCCCTAGGGAGGAGGGAGGGAGGAGGGAGGGAGGTTGGGAGGAGGTAGGGAGGAGGGAGGGAGGAGGGAGGGAGGGAGGAGGGAGGGTGGGGGGAGCGACCCCAGGAGGGGGGGGGGTGGAAGCCGCCATTCTCACCGCCGCCTGCCGCCGTTGGGAGGCCCCCGGCGCGCCGAGGGGCGAGCGCGGCCCCAGCCGGCCCAGGAGGGACGCCAGGCCCGCCGGGCGCGCGGGGCCGCCGCCCGCGGGCCCGGGCTCCTCGGGCTGCCGGGCGAGCTCCATGGCGCGCGTACCGCGCGCCGGGGCCCACGGCCCGAAGGCCTCGAGCAGGGGGGTCGGCTGCGCTCCCCGAGCACAGATCCAAACACAGAAACACGTGCCTGGCCTGGGAGCGGAGGGGCCGAAGAGCGCTCCCCGAGCACACATCCCAACACAGAAACCTGTGTCCCCGAGCACACATCCCAGCACAGAAACATGTGTCCCAGCCAGCCGGGGGGGGGGGTCGGCTGCAGGAGTGACGTGCCCAGAACTTGGCTCTCCTCGCCGCGCAGGCACGCGCAAGAGCGGTCGCAGGATGCGGGGCGAGCTCCATCCGCGTACCGCGCGCCGAGGCCCGCGGCCCGAAGGCCTCGAGCAGGGGGGTCGGCTGCAGGAGTGTCGGGTCGGGCGGAAGGGGGGGAGAGCAAAGGGGGGGGGGTGAGAATCAGCTCGCGCAGCTGGTTTTCCCGGCGCCGGGAGGCGCCCATGTATCGAGGAATGGGCCCCTCGGTCGGGCCGAAACCAGCTGCATGCAGCAGATTTCGTAGCCCCCCTTTCCCAAACCCTCCCTTTCGCCCGACCCGAGAGTGACGTGCCCAGAACTTGGCTCTTCTCGCCGCGCAGGTACGCACAAAAAAGCGGTCGCAGGATGCGGGTAGAAGACGAACATTCTGCGCTCGGTTCGTGGACCCGACGAGAGCAGCAAGTTTGTGGCAAAGCAATTCTGTAGCCCATCCCCTGCTGCAAAGGCTCGGAGAACGAGTCGACCGCTGGCAAGGGGGGCGACTTGCGACAACTCGCCCCCCAAATACCACCTCGGGGTAGTGGAGCGTGGTCTCGTCATTGAGAGGGGGCGCCTGGGAGAGTGGTCAACTGTCGACCACTCTCCCAGACCCCCCCCCGCTCGCGTCGTGGGCAAGCGCGCGACGGGCGGGTTTGGGGGCGGTGGCCTGCTCCTGGGCGCCCCCGCCGGGCGCCGGGACCGCCCACGAACGACTCGGGAGGGAGAGCCCGTGCCCGGGGAGGGGCCGCGACCTCTCGGGGGGTTCACGCCATGACCACCCAGACGTGATCGCGTCGCGACAAGCAACAAAAACAGGACGGGAGGTTTCTGGCCAGCTTCGGCCTCGGAAGGCCCTCGCCGGGCCTCGGGACCGTCGAGACACGACTCAGACCAGCTGCTCAGCTGCTCGAAGAGAAGCTGCCCAAACAACCGCTTTCGGAGGCCGTGCGGAGTCCCGAGATCGGCTCCGGAGCTGGAGGCGCCGCCAGGGGGGAGGGGGCCAGCGCCGATCGTCGGAGTCCGCCCGGACCTCTGGCAATCGGTGCTTCGGGTCCTCGTGCTATACGACAGGGAGCGCCGGCTTAGCACTGGCCATCGCTCGTCGACGTCCATTCCCCGTGCTTTTTTCGGTTTCATGCGTGGCTTTTTCGTCAAATGCTCAAGGATGCTCCTCGATGGTCCTCGACAAAAGAAAAATGCACACGTCCGAGCGATGCCAAGACTTATGTCGGGCGTGTCCCCCTACAGGGGGATTTTCGACGAAAAATGAAAAATACCCCCAAAAATGCACCAAAAAGGGCAAACAATAATAAAAAAAATGCCCCCCTGACTATTTTTTGATTACTTTTTGACTACTTTTGGTGTATGTTTTATTTTCGTCGAAAATCCCCCTGTAGGGGGACAGGCCCGACTTAAGCCAAGACGGGGAGCGCCGGATCGGCAGCGGAGCGGCTTCTCTGACCACGGCGGGCCCCGGCCACGAGCGAGCTATCCCCACCGCAGTCCGGGCAGCACGGCCACGGCAGGCCAGCGCCACTCCCGAGCCCACGGCTTGAGCAGGGACCGACCGTCCTGGTACTCCTATAGTCCTACCACGACATGTTCTTAGAACCCAAACATGTTCTCAGAACAAAAACAGTGTTCTTAGAACAGAAACCCGATGTGTTAAAACAAGACAGTCCCAGCCAGAAATGTTCTAAGAACATTTCAAGGAAACCACAAGCGGTTCTTAGAACATCGTTCGGTAGGGCTACAGGCGAGCCAGGACGCCTCGCCGCTGCTTGAACGGCGATGCCTATCCCAGCGCCCTGGCCGCAGGCCGACAGCTCTCCTTCGGGAGAGGGCGCCCAGCTCGGGTCGGGCGGAAGGGGGGGAGAGCAAAGGGGGGGGGGGGAGAATCAGCTAACGTATAGCGCCTCCCGGCGCCGGGAGGCGCCCATGTATCGAGGAATGGGCCCGGCGGCGGGGCCGAAACCAGCTGCATGCAGCAGATTTCGTAACCCCCCCTTTCCCTATCCCCCCCTTTCGTCCGGCCCGACAGAGGGCACGGGAGGAGGGCCGGGGCGGCCAACCCCCGAGGGGGGCGCCCGGCTGGCGCCGGGCCCAAGTCGAGCTGAGGGGCGCAAGCGGCGGCGGCGGCGATGAGATCTCTCGGGGTATGCTGCGAGGCGGGGATATCTCCAGATCCACCGCCGGTGGAACCGACGTCGTTTTACCCCAGCGGGCGGTGGATATGGACATCTTTGAGCTCCAGTGGGCCCGAAGATATCCATATCCACCGCATGTCGATGTCGCCGAAGATCGATCCTCCAGGCGGTGGTTAACCGCTATAGGTCTTTAGTTTTAGTCCCTGTTCTCTCGGCGGTGAATAGGACTGATCCTAAAACGTCCTCCTCCTCCGCCTGAAAAGCAAGACGAGAAGATAAGGACGGGAGGGGTAGCTGTCGCCGTCGATGTTGCGCGGCGGGTGCCGCGAAAAAACAAGTTACGCCCCCTTTGGTTGGACCCCCGTCGTTCAAGAAGGCCCCCCCAAAAAAATGTATACCCCTTCTTTGGGAGGGGTTCTGAAGACCTTTCAGGGTTCTGTGAAGATCCCCGCCTTGGACATGCGCTCTGACGGGACTCCGGTGTTCAAGTCGGGCGTGGAGGCGAGGGCCCTGCAGCTCCAGATTCACCGAGAATCGTGAGAGTTCTCGTCCTCGTCGTCGTCCTCCTCCTCCTCGTCGTCCTCCTCCTCGTCGTCCTCCTCCTCGTCCTCCTCGTCCTCCTCCTCCTCCTCCTCCTCCTCCTCCTGCTCCTCAGTGGGCGGCCCGCACACCCACTCTTCCACCACAGGGGTGGTGCACGGGGTCCCCGTGTGCGGGATAGGGGGTGGGCAAGGAGGGGCACCGTAGCTACCCCCAGACTTCGCGGCACGGGCGCTGTGCGCCTGGGTGTCGGCTCAGGGGAGGCAACAGAAGCCTACCCCACACCTTTGCGTGAAAGGCTGGACCACGGAACTGTATGCATTCACGGACTTCAGGAATTTCCCCTCTAGGTCGGAAGGTCGACGTTGAGGGAGCGACGATGATTGCCTGGGTAGTCCTGCTTTCCACGCGCTCGTTGCTGCGCGAGGCGCGCAGCGGGATCAGTGCCCTGATCGAAGCGCCAGATCGGATCGGATCGGAAGCGGATCTAATTGCGCCCGAATCGGCGCAAGTACGATCCCGGTGTCTCTTCCCGTACGCGCGCGCATAATTTCCCGACGTCGGCGCTGTTCGCAGGGGTACTATGTGTTCATTGCACGTCATACGAATACCGCTCACAGTACACTCGTACAAGACTGCTCTATGTTGACCGAATGAGTACAATCGTGCTGGCACTCGTAGCTTCATTAGTAGCGACACTATGGTAGCATAACGTACTACTTCACAAGTCGTCACAACACGTAGCACACAAGTACAATGTTCCTGTTCTGCCGCACTCTTTAGCGCTGCTCCATGTTTCCCTCGAGAGGTCTGGCGACGTTGGAATTCCATCTGTCAGCGGCCTCTTATCGGTATCGCCCGACAAAGTGCCGCCGCCTGTATGCACGCTCTGCTACTAGAGGTTATCCGCAAGGGCATGGCAAACGTCGCATTACACCCCAGCACGGAAGGAGACGTTGCAAAATCATCGGGCTGACAGCGGCGGCCGTCTCGCACGGCAACCCGCACTCCGAGCGCGCACGCATCGGATACCGACCGACGGTTTCGATAGCAACGCGTATCGAACTGGTGGGCGTGCTACTCGCATGCTTGACGGGCACCATGACGAACGAACACCTCACCCTTCAATCGATCGAACGGCAAGACTCGCGCCTCGCCTTTTACGGGACGCGATGCCGCTCCCTCCGACGTCTCACACCTCTAGTTAGCTGCGCTTGGTGGGGAGGGGCTTTCAAAGCCAAGGGCCACGTGTCAAGTGATACACCACCCGAGCGGGTCGAGATCGGCAAAAAGGATGGCCTCAGGAGGCAAGACGGAGCGACCTCCTCCATGCCGGTCGTGCACTCGCTGCTCTTATGATCTGTCGCAGATGCGCCCTGCACTTGCTAGACGCTTAGGCTGGATTTCAACAACGCGGGGCTGCACACACAAGCATTGTTAACAGTGCCACAGCGCCACGTGGCGCAGCAAGCTCTGTGGCGTCGATGTATGAGTCATGCTGGCATCCCTTGAGAGCAAGTTCGGATCATACCACGCTTGCCCTAATCAGAAATACTTCAATTCGACCCTGCTGGTGTACTCATCTGTGCCATCATGCACCAAGCATGACGTCTCTGCTCAAGCTTCTGGGTTGCGGCTGGCGATGGCGGCTATGACCAAGCTTGTCAGCGACCGCGCACAACGGTTGTGTGAAACCACCGCAGACAGACGCACGCAGAAAAACGATCTGCACTGCGCATACGCGGTTGCATCTTTTTTCTCCCAGCCGGGTAGCGCATCACAGTCCTACATGCGACGACCCTTCGCCAGACCCAGAAGTCCAGCGGCCAGATGTTCTCTAGAAGTGGGCCCCTGGACTTCTCGACCACTTCCTCCGTGCCTGCGTTTCACCCCGAGCTGCTCTGGACGGTCCCGAACGAGGCCCGAAGCGGAGAAAATCGCCGTCTCGCTGTGTCTTCCCCGAGGCGCTGAATGCCTCTATCGGCGGCAAGCCCAGGGGGAAGTGAAAAGGGGCGGGCCTTATGAGAAGGCTCGGGGGTCCCCGGGCCTTCTGAGACGTTTTCTGAGCCCACCCCAAAGACACAGAAAGCTCTCAGAAGGCTCGAGGCCTTCTGGGCTTAGCTGCCCCGATACGCAACACGCGACACGTAGCGTGCTTACACGAAACTCAACACGTAGTTTGGAAACGCAGGTCTGGAGCGACACGTTCGGCAAGGCGTGGGGGAATATGCTGAGCCAACACGCCGCGTGTTAGAACGGACACGTTTGGAACACGGCACATGCTACGTTTCCGAACGGGCGTATCAGGGCAGCTAAGCTTCTGAGAATCCCCGCTGCCTTCCGAGAAGGCCTGGCCACCGCTCGGACGTCCATTCCCCGTGCATGTTTCGACTTCGTGCGTGTATTTTTCGCAAGGTGACCCAACATGCTCACGTCGATGGTGCTCGCCGAGAACAGTGCACACGTCCGAGCGATGCCAGGGAGCCATCTCCTTCTCACTTCCCCCCCCTCGCTCGCCACCGATGGATGCCTCTGGGTTGGGGGGCAGGCACCGGTACGCCCCAGGGCGCTGCGTCAGACAACCAGCGGTGCGCCTGTTCAGCCCGTGCGCCACGAGGCTCCCGACCGCTTCCGCGGGGGCAAAGCCTCACGCCCCAGACACGCTGTCATTGATCGAGGGAGCGGCGAGCATATCCGTATCCGCGCCCTCGCGGTCTGGATTTCGGGGCGCGGTCCCGCGGATACGCGGTCGCACGGATGCGCCCCACGCGGGGCATCTGCGAAACGACGCCCCGCATCCGCGGGGTCGCGGCCCAAGGGCACGGCCCGCGAGGCCGCGGATAAGGAGATATGTGCTTCGCCCGCAATGATCGTCCTGGGGCCCCGAGCCGGTTCTCGGAGGCCGCCATTGACAGAAGAAGAATCGGAAGACAGAACATAAACAGACAAATTATAAGAATGACAATCGTAATGCTGATATAAGTTAAGTTCAAAGCACCAGTAACCATGATACAAATATTAAGTATACTGAAATAAAAAAAGAAACCTAAGAAGCGTGAATTTCAGGGAACAGAACTGGACCCCCGTCCCTGGCGTGCTCCGCGCGCCAGAGGCGACGCCTGAGGCGCCGCCAGAGGTGCCCAACACCGATCCGAGGAGTCCCCGACGAATTCTGAAAATTTACGTCTACGTTTTTCCGTGGCATCGAAGAAGAACGCCGCGACTTGAGGTCCGCTGGAACTCGGGGGCAGGCCTGCTCCGTCCTCAGACGCTGTGCCGCCCTGCTGAGGAGCAACGTTGGGGGGGGGGACCTGCTCCGGCGAGGAAGCATCGAGCTGGAATCGGCGCTACATCGCTGATGTGTTGGCAGCAGGTCCCCGAGAGCGGATCCGCGTATTCCTGGGCGGGGTGGACCACACCCCTCGGCGATCAACGGGCGATTGGGGGACGATGCGTTCCTCCCTGCGCCTACTCCCCCCCTGGCCATCCTCACCATCGGGCCTTCGGGTCGTAGCCCGGGTCTCCGACGGCCCTTCGGGACGATCCGGGCATCCCCGAACGCCCGTGGGCGAGGCGCAGCTGCTGCAGCGCACCCCGAGGCTGGAAGACCGCCGGGAGAAAGCGAGCACGCCCGAGAATCTCGGGTTTCGACCCGACGGTGCCCCCTGGTCTCCCCCTCTGAGCCTGTCGCCCCCTGGCGTCGCCCTGTGCCTGCGCCCCCACCCAGGAAGAGAAGAACAGCAAGGTGAGCGTTCTCTGATTCGAAGTTTCGCATTGGGCGGAAGGGGGGGGGTCGACTCCAGACTTCTGCTTAACGCGACTGTTTGCAACAGTGCGTCCTAAGGGTGAGACTCCACCTGCGTTGCGTGAGCAGGCACCAAAAGCAGCCAAAATCTACTCCAGGGGTGGGGTAAAAGCGGGTGCGAGGGCCTGCGCCGATCGGCAAAACAATGAATGAGAAAACGATCACAAGAGCGATGCCGGCCTCTCTCAAATCCTGGCCGAGAGAGGCGGGAGGGAGCCGCCCACGTTCAGGCGGCGCCGCCACGCCTGCAGGAGGGGAGGCGAGCGATGCGGTCCGCCATCTTCTCCATCTTCCCCCTCTCGTCCATCTCATCCTCACGCTGCTCCCTCTCTCTCCTCCCTCCTCCTCCTCTTCCTCCTCCTTTTTTTCCTCCTCCTCCTCCTCCTCCTCCTCCTCCTCCTCCTCCTCCTCCTCTTCGTCCTCCTCCTGCGCCTCGTTCCTGCTCATCCCTCTGTCTTCTCCTCCTCCTCCTCCTCCTCCTCCTCCTCCTCCTTCTCTTCCTCCTCCTCCTGCTCCTCCTCCTCCTTCTCCGTTCCTCCCTCCTGCGCCTCCGTCCTGCTCCTCCCTCTCCTCCTCCCTTCCCCTTCTCGCTCCTCCTCCGCCTTGTCACCTCCGTCCCCGATCTTCCCCCCTTCCCTCCTCTTCTGCCTCTGGTCCACCCTCGGTCCCATAGCGTCTCGAGCAGTCCCCAGGATCCCCCAGGGAGTCTGGAGGTCTCCAGAAGCCTCGACAGGCCCCCGGACGCCTCCAGAGGCAACTGGGCCAAACAACAAGACGCCACCCCAAATCTCGATTCTCGAACCTCCTCCTCTGCCCTCCTCTTCCACCCTCCTCGTCCTCCTCCCCCTCCTCCAAGACGAGCCCACGAACGCCTCCGGAGCGCCCGCAACAAACTGGAATGTGTTGCGGGTGCTCTGGGGGGTGCCGTTTGGGGCGTTCTCGTGGGATCTTTCTGGAGCTCTTAACGCTCCGAAAATGTTCTGAGAGAGTCCTCCAGGGGTGGGCTGCAGATGACCACAAGAGGTTCCCAATGAGGCCCCTGGTGCACACATAACAAACTTGATGGTTATGTTGCAAGTGTTTTGAAGGCATACTTCCTCCTGGGACCCCCTGATGCGTCCTGGGATCTCTAAGGTGCTCTTGAGATCTCCTGTTGCCACCACGATCGTATGGAAAACGCCAGGTCCAGCAAAGCTTCAGAGAGCAGGGGGGTGAGAAGGAGCAGGAGACAAAGGTGGCGGGGGGCTTGCCCAGAAAATCACCCTGATCGTCCGCACCGCACCCAAGCGGACCAATAATCCCGAAAACCACATACCACCCATAATTAAGAACACTTGACGCATTCGTCGGAACCGGCAACAATAACATAACAACACTGTTGTTTTCCTTTTGAAAATCCCAGGGCGTCGGAAGTCCAAACCCCAGGCGGCCAGGAGTCCTAGCCACAGACCCCGCAAATTGTTCAATGCAAATTTGGGAAACACTCGGGAAACATTCGGAGACGGTCAAAATGTCGAGCACAAGCAAACAAAAACAGTGCTTAGGGGGCCCAAGCCCCAGGCGACGAGCAATCCTGAAACATCAAGGACCCCAGAATATTTTTTTACGAAATATCATAAATTATGACTGGAGTGCAACATCCCAAAACAGAATGTTTAAACCCTCTGCGGCTTCCAAGGTCGATCGCGTGCCAGTCCAGTGCGGGCTGGCAAGGCATGTTGGAGCATGAGAACATGATGCTTGCACATGAGATGTTTACACGAAACTTTGTTTGACACATGCCTATCAGGAAGCCAACGCTAGAGGGTGTCGTACTTTCTCGCGCCTGGTCGACGAGTAAGCTGTCGGGTCGGCACTGTCAGAGGCTCCACCGCCATGCTGTGAACTCGGAAGCAACTGTAAGAGGAAGCGGGGGAGGGCGCGGAAGCGGGGGAGGAAGGAAGAGGAGCCCGGCGGGAAGCGGGAAGAGGGAGGCGGGAGAAGAAATGAGAGAAGTTGTGATTGGAGCCCCTGTGCTACGAAACGTCTCAGGCAGAACGGGCCAGACCATGTCGCGCGCAACATCTTCGAGCTTCGCATTGTGAGGATGGCTCAAGCGAAACGGGCCAGACCACCTCGCGAGCGACATCTTGGAGCTCAGTATTGGAAGGATGTCTCAAACGAAACGGGCCGGACAACCTCTCGCACACGTTCTGACAAGTCCACGTCACACTCGCTTCCCGTTAGGTCCTCTCCTGCAACTCCCTTCCTTCTCCCTCCTCCTACTCTTCCTCCTCCTCCTCCTCCGCCTCCTCCTCCTCCTCCTCCTCCTCCTCCTCCTCCTCCTCCCCCTCCTCCTGCCTGCTCCCTCATTCACATCATCCTCCTCCTTCTCCCTTCCATCTCCTCCTCCTTCCCCTCCTCCTCATCCTCCTCCACCTCCTCTTCATTCCGAACGGCATCTCGGAGCCCAAAGTTGCGAGGATGTCTCCAGCGTAACGGGCTGGGCCACCTCCTCGGATCCCAGAGTTGCGACGATGTCTCGGGCGAAACGTGCTGCGAGGAAGTCTCAGGCGAAACGGGCCGGACCACCTCGAGCGCGGCGTCTCAGAGCTCCGAGTTGCGGGGGCCTCCTGGGGCCTCCTGGGGACCTCCTGAGGCTTCCTCCTGGGCCTCCTGCGGTCTCCTGGACCTCGCCTGGGGCTTCCTGAAGCCTCTTGGGGCTCCGGGGATATCTAACATGTGGCCGTCTGGGCCCCCCAAAATGAGGGGGGTGGGCCACAAGAGCAGGAAACATCAACGAATCGACACCGGATGTGTATTAACTTGACACGTTCTGATAGGGGGCCTCCTGGGGCCTCCATGGAGCCTCCTGGGAATCTCCTGGGGACCCCCGGGGCCTTTTCTGGGCGTCCTGCGGCCTCCTGAAGCTCTCTTGGGCCTCCTGGGGCTCCCAGAGTCCCAGGGGGGATATGTAACACGTGGTTTTCTGGGCCCCAAGGCTGGACCACCTGTTGCGCGGCATCTGGGAGCTCAGAGTTGCAAGAATGCCTTCTGCGAAACGGGCCGGACCACCTGGCGCACGGCATCTCAGAGCTCAGAATTGCAAGGATGTCTCAAGCGAAACGGGCTGGACCACTTCGCGTAGGGCATCTCAGAGCTCAGAGTTGCGAGGATGTCTCAGGCGAAACGGGCTGGACCTCGTAGCGCGCGGTATCTCCGAGGTCAGAGTTGCGAGGACCAGGCGAAATAAGCTGCACCACCTCTTGCGCGGCAGCTCAGAGCTCAGAAATTTGAGGATGTCTCAGGCGAAACGGGCCGGACCACCTTGCGCGGCATCTCAGAACTCAGAGTTTCGAGGACGTCTCAAGCAAAACGGGCCGGACCACCTCGCGCACGGCATATCAGGGCTCAGAGTTTTGAGAATGTCTCAGGCGAAACGGACCGGACCACCTCTTGCGCGGCATCTCGGAGCCCAGAGTTTCGAGGGTTTCTCAGGCGAAATGGGCTCGACCACCTCGTGCGCGGCATCTCAGAACTCATAGTTGCGAGGATGTCTCAGGCGAAACGCGCCGGATCACCTCTTGCGCGGCATCTCAGAGCCCAGAGTTTGCAGGATGTCTCAAGCGATATGGGCCGGACCACCTCGCGCACGGCATATCAGGGCTCAGAGTTTTGAGAATGTCTCAGGCGAAACGGACTGGACCACCTCTTGCGCGGCATCTCGGAGCCCAGAGTTTCGAGGGTTTCTCAAGCGAAATGGGCTCGACCACCTCGTGCGCGGCATCTCAGAACTCATAGTTGCGAGGATGTCTCAGGCGATACGGGCCGGACCACCTCTTGCGCGGCATCTCAGAGCCCAGAGTTTGGAGAATGTCTCAAGCGATACGGGCCGGACCACCTCTTGCGCGGCATCTCGGAGCCCAGAGTTTGAAGGATGTCTCAAGCGAAACGGGCTGGACCACCTCTCGCGCGGCATCTGGAAGCTTACAGTTTCGAGGATGTCTCAGGCGAAACGGGCCGGACCACCTCTTGCGCGGCATCTGGGAACTCAGAAGTTGGAGGATGTCTCACGCGAAACGCCCAATCCCGGACAACTCAGAAACGAGAGTTGCGAGGATGTCTCAGGCGAAACGGCCTGGACCTCCAAATTTGTTTGAGGACGTCTCTGCTTTGCATTCCCTCGGCTGGAGTTAGCGTCCATCACAACAGCACCCCGTTCAGCAAGCTGTCTGGGGAACAGCAACAAGCATGAGAGACGACGCACCTCTGCAAAACTGCTCCTGCTTGTTTGAGCAATAACAGAAATTATCAAAACAATGATCGTGGTCTCGGGCGTCCAAGCCCCTTGCAAGAAAAACTGCCGAAAACCAATGACGTCAGAGCACTGCCCTTTTGAAACATGTTCTGGGACGGCGAACATTGTATATCATATCTGGAATGTATCCAAAATCCCAAGACCTTGGACATCCAAAGCCCGAGGCGAACAAAAGAATACCAAAAACAATCGACCTCCCATAATGATGATAATCTTGCAGGAAGCAACAGTGAATAATACTCCAAGGTCCCAAGGCTCCGTGCGCCCAAACCCAAAGCGAGCGGAATCCAGAAAAGCTAATGACCCCCAACAATTCGAAAACGAATTCTGATGTTCAGTAATGAAGCCGGCGAACAGTTTGAATATTCTTACATTTCTTGAAATCCCAGGGCCCTGGGAATCAAAGCCCAAGTGGACCAGGAATTCAGAACATCCCCAGACCCCGCAGACTTGGCGCACCCGAGGCGAGGCCTACGGCGCTTGCGAGGTCCAGGAAGGCCCCAAAGAGCGGGGGAGGAGGGCGAGAAGGAGGAGGAGGAGGAGGAGAAGGAGCGAGGACGAGAAGGAGGAAAAGGAAAAGGAAAGATGAGGGAGTAATTAAGGATATGAGGTTGCACAATGGTATCCCCTTCGAGACGCCCGTACTCCGTGCCGCCCCCCTCCCCGCCCCGCCCCTCCTCTCCACCTCTGTATTCATGCCTGGGCAACAGGGGGGGGGGGGGGCGGCGAGAAGAACCCAACCCGCAGAGCCGCCTCCGCCAGGCCGGCGCTCCGGGCGGAGATGGGCAGAACTCCCGCCGCGGGACCTGGCGGAGGAGGAAGAAGGGAGGGAGGAGCAGGATGAGGAGGAGGAGGAGCAGGATGAGGGGGAGGAGCAGGAGGAGGAGCAGGAGGAGGAGGAGGATGAGGAGGAGGAAGGAGGAGGAGGATGAGGAGGAGGACAAGGAGAAAAATAAGGAACAGGGCGAGGAGGAGGCTGGAGGAGGAGGAGGAGGACGAGGAGCAGGAGGACCCGGAAGCGGAAGACGAAGAAAAGGAGAACGAGGATTGATCGATCGATCGAGTTTTCGGGCCTGTCGGGGGTTACCGAACTATGACTAGAACGCTGTGCCTTCAAAACTCAAATGCGGCCTAGCTGTGGTCACTTCGTGGAAGGGGGGACGCGGGCGCCACGGGGCGCGCGGGCCCTACCTGCACCGACCTCCCTACGCCGGGGTCCGCGGGCAGGGTAGCACCCGCGCTCACGGGTGCCCTTTCGCGTTTTCCTCTCTACCCGTTCCCTTCCCCCTTGCGTTTTGTCTTCATTGCGGCCAGTCCTTGCCCCTTGCGTTTTGTCTTCGTGTCCACTCGGTTGGTCGCCATCTGATGCTGTACAAAATGTATATGCGTCCCGCTGGCCACTCTCTGAAGCAACACCAAATGGTGTTGCACAAAACTGATCGGTGTCCCTTCGGCCAGTCACTGAAGCTGCACAGCACTGATCGGTGTCCCTGACGGTGCCGGGCTCTGCTAGCAACTCACAGGCCCCTACGGCCAAACGCGTGGGAGGCGTCGCAGAGCCAAACGCGCGCGCTAGCAACTCACGGACCCCTGCGGCCAAACGTGAGGGAGGCGTCGCGCAAGCTGCGTCTCCATGTGTGTTCACGCCCCATGACCCTGCCGAGTTCCCTCTCGATGGCAACGCAAGGAGCTGCTCCCACCTTCCTGTTCGCACCCTCTTCCTTGAGCTGCGTGACGACCACCGGCACGAATGACACGAATGGTGCAGCTGGTGACACGAATGGTGGATCTGTAAGTGGAACCTGCACTTCTACTGACATCCGTTGCCGCCCTCCTTCCCTTTCTTGCGCCTTACGCGGAAAACTGGCACTGACGTTGCCACGAGTCCCTCATTGCCATTCAAGACGCGGTCCGTGTAGTACTTCTCGAGAAGTTCGCGCTCTCCTCCCGCCTCTGTCGTTCGATCCAGGTAGATGAGCACCTCCGTCCAGACCTCCGCGCGCGGGCTGCCCAGCGATGCGGTGCCCGCGCTCTCCAGGAGAAGGACGAGGAGGAAGAAGAGGAAGGGGAAAGGAGTGGGAGTGGGGAGAGGATGATGAGGATGAGGAGGAGGAGGAGGAGGAGGAGAAGGAGGAGGAACTATCATTGCGGGTGTCAGGGGTGAGAGGCAGACAGCACGGCGTCAGGGGTAACATTAGATATTGCACATCGGCGGTCTTTTCCTGCTATATATGGTATGTCGCGCGCACGCTGCAAGCCAAAATGACAGCGGGCGCGCACGAATGTTCCTATTCGAGCCAGGGCTACCAAACAATGGAGAGCGTCACTCCGCAATATGAAAGCTTCAGAGGACCATCCGCAATGAGGTGGTGGTGGTGGTGGTAGCGTCACATGCGGGGAGTCCCCCTCGACGCCCAATGCTCTACTGCCTGGCTGTCAGGTTCGACAGCCTTCTCACATGTGTAAGTGTCAGGATATGCAAATTATTAACAAAGTAATGCTGGAAAGGATTAACAAAGTTACTATCAAAGTGTACCGCTGAATTGACGGCGGCATGCAATCATACAGCTACACAGATAAAATGTATCAGCCTGCAAGATTCACGTGCGCATGGACCTAAGACTCTTCCGCAATGAGGTGCCAGAGGATTCACCGCGATGCGCCAGCAGTGGAAGCTCGGCACAAC